AACACTGCACTGAGAGAGAGAGGGGTTCATACAGACACACTGACTGGACACTCCAGTACATGAACACTGCACTGAGAGAGAGAGAGAGGGGTTAATACACACACACTGACTGGACACTCCAGTACATGAACACTGCACTGAGAGAGTCACGATACAGGTTAAAATTAGGCAGTGTCAACACAGCGAGTGCGCGTGTAATTTCTGTCTACGGCAGGCAGAAAGGACATTTTTAGCCTTGTCATTGAGGTCTGCCAATGTGATAAAAAATCGTCGGGAATTAATAAATGAATGATTAATCAAGAGCTACTGTGAATTACACCAGTCGTCTGGGTCCTACTCCCCAGCAGTCTGAGATTATAACGGTATACAGCCGACACGACCTTGACTCTGTTGAATACTCTGACTGACAGCTATTCCGCCGGTTTTAACTCGCCTCCAAGCCTCTCTTACCTGTGTTAGGAATTTCTCGGTACCAGGCTCGGTACAGCTCCCGGACACGCCGCTTCGCCTCTTCCAAATCCCGACTGAAAATCGGCTTGACGACCCGGACAGCCCCGCTCGCCGTCCGACTCGCTGCCGAAGTCGCCATCTTCGTTCTGGGGTCAGGAAAGCGCGTGTTTCTCTTCCGGGGTCACACCGGCAGCCCCGCCCCCTAGCCGCTAGAGTTCTGGGTGCTTATTGGACGAAGGAGACCTTACTCGGAGACGATTGGTTTTGAGAAATGCCATTGAAAGGAATTTCATTGGATTGACAAATTACACAGGTATTACCAAAACATTCGTCGCAAAGTAGAATATTATTACGGAAAATTAGTTTTGTGCATGATATACTACAGTGCAGTTTGACCTAGTAGAGTGCATTACACTACAACAGAAACTCTCTACCCCCTCAAGGTGTGATTGACGTCTTTATTTGCACGAACAAGATTTACATCCATTGTCCATTGTCCATTGTCCAGAAAACTTTCATATGAAACCTGGAAGGCATAGTTTCATATACATAATCTCCCAGGATCAGGCTAGTAGAGAGGTGCTTAGTCCTACTGCCTCTCAGCTCCTGTGGGAGATTCTGGGCTTGGGGGTCTGTCTGTGGGGAGTTTGCATGTTCCACCGAAAGCTCATGTACAGTTTATCCCCCCAGCTTCCAAAAGTAGGATCATTAAATGGCTGGGAGGCTACAAGGAAACAGAGTCCTGCAAGGTGGGGCCAAAGACCACAGGCTGCCTGGCTCTCTGATGATCTGGAAGAGCTGAGAGCCACTGTCTCAGAGGCAAGGATTTAAAGGGTCTAACCCTAATCCCAACCCTGCTGTCTAAAGATCTACAAAGTCATTCAGCCATTTTGTGAAC